GCCACAAACTAAATAAATATAAATAATAATTTCTATTAAATATTATTATCCTGGATTAGATTTTGGGGAAGACAGGTGCGTGTGGCGTAGAATTATTTTTGCTTACTTCATGTCGATTTTAAAGACATTTTAATTCGGTTAGTTTAGAGCATGGTAAGCGATCATTCATGATCGGGTATTGAAGCTTCACGTATACAAACCATTTTTTTGTGTAAATAAAAATCAATCTTGCTTCCGCTACCAAAGCGAACACATTTAATTGCGCGCGCACTGTGCCAAGTAATTTTTTTAACGATCAAGAATATATTACAAAGCACAAATTTTTCCTGTCCGTCCATGTGTCCAACAAGTGTGCAACACTGTGCGCGCACAAAAGTTACCCACAGCATTGCCGGTGGAGCAGAAGTCTAACGAGATACGCACTTAGTACGTGTTCTGCTTTTGTTTGGCCCAAAATTTTCCAAAAAAAATTCCCCGGCCCCTTTTTTTTTGGGAGCGCCCCCCCCAAACCAAAAAAACTTGCCCCCCCCCCTGGTTTTTTTGCCCCCCCCCCCCTTTTTTGGGTTTTTTTTTTTTCCCCCCCCCCCCCCCCCAAATTTTTTATTTTTTTTTTTTTTCTTTTTTTTAAGGGGGCGGGCCCCCCCCCCCACAAAAAAACCCCCCCCCCCCCCCCCCCCCCCTTTGGGCGGGGCGGGGGGCCCCCCCCCCCCCCCCCCCCCCCCCCCCCCCCCCCCACCACCCCCCCCCCCCCAGGGGGGGGCCGCCGGCCCCCCCCCCCCGGGGGGGGGGGGCGCCCCCCCCCCCCCCCCCCCCCCCCCGGGGGGGGGGCCGGCGGGCGGGGGGGGGGGGGGGGGGTAGGGCGGGCGGGTTTTTTTTTTTTTTTTTTTTTTTTTTTTTTTTTACATACAGCATAAATTAAAAACAAATATAAATTATAATTGCATAAGTTGATCGAAAATGCTATTCAATACCTTTACCGCGGCAGTCCCCGAGTGCCACACGGTTTTTTTTAAATTGTAATTTGACATCAAAGACTCACCGGACATGTTGCGTGACAAGATGGCAGGCCTCACCCGCGGCGCCGTGTTGCACTCGAACGGGATCGTGTAACGCGTCTCGAGCCAACTTCTCAACTCGCCGTGGAAACGTCGCAGAGAACAATAACGCCTGCCTCTCTGGCCGCACGTGGTTGCATATCGAACGGACTTGTGGTTCTAAAATATTTATCTTTTATATATTAACACTTCGTTGCAAGTATACATAAACATAGTACAATTAAAATAATTAAATAATAAGGAGGGCAACTGACGGCCTTGTCGCTTTCGAGCTATCTTTCACCAACCACGGTAAGAAAAATTAAATTAGATAATGTGAGCGCAAGAAGTGCAAATCAATACAATAATTAGTTAGACAAAACTAATTGAATAAAGCAAAAATTAAACATATGTAAACAATGGAAGGGACAAAAATAAAAAAAGTCACATTAAAAAGAAAAATTGCACATGAATCACGATAACTTCAGATCAGTTAGTACGAATGTTAGTGATACGACGTGGGCAGCTAATGGTAAAACAGCGGATAGGAACGGGAAGTGAATTCCATAGCCTCACTATAGAGACCATAAAGGACCAAGAAAGGAAGAGTTAAGAGATTTCAAGGAAATAGTTCCTACATATAGTTATATTTATTTTAGTATACAGTGAGTATTATCTGAGAGAAACTAATTCAGTACTATTACCACCTATTTACATCCTTTCATAAAGAGATTATTATGAACGTGGCTCTGAAGAAATTATTATTACTAACACATTAATTTATGGCTGATGAATAAAATTATTAATTTATTAGACCTCTTTTTAACTAATAGTCCGGGTTGTCTAGCAAAAACTACTCTAGCAGTAAGACCGCCCCTATTTATCTACTGGCTCGTTTTCATTTCAAAAAAAATTTGTTTCTTCAGCTGTTATTTATGTTGAATTTTAAATACATCCAAAATACAAGCATGTTAGTTGAAATACGACATAGCGATAAAACGCGTACTAAAAAGTTACACACAAATAAATACACAACCCATAAATTTTTACTTTGAAAATAGTATTTTTTTTAAATTTTAAGTTTAAGCAAAATCTATACTAACTATGGTTAAAATAAATATTATTATTCTTACCAAATCCCATATCAAACATTCTGTCAGCTTCATCGAGGACCAGATATGTAACTCGACCCAAATCCGTTGCTTTACATTTAACTAAATCAATAACTCTCCCCGGCGTACCCACAATTATTTCAGCACCACCTGCAATACAATCCACAAATCTTATTAATAAATATATCATTTCCCACTTTACATCCCAATTTACATTAAGGAATAAGAATAATAAATCGACAATTATTATATATTTAACATTTTAATATATCCCTCCAATTTTAGAAAATCACATTAAAATATGTATATGCATACACAAATATAGATAGATACTCTAAACATCAAAGGAAAAATACAAAAAATTATGAGAAACTTACAATCAATACATATAATATATAACAACAAAATTAAAAATGCCAAAATTTCACCTTCTAAAGCTTTGGTTTGTTCCCATTTCGATCCACCACCGTAACAACATACACATCGTATGTTGTATACTTTTCCAAATCGTTTCGCCTCCATATATATCTAAAATTTCGATTTATTATATATTTTTATTGTATATTAAACAAATAATCATATTTTAATAGTTTCCTCTTTACACCTAACATGTCCGCACATATAACTTTTCTTACCTCAACAATAGAGATATCAGTTTACGCCCTTCACTTCCTAATGTGTCAACAAATTGTTATCGAGTTGTTTAAATAAGTAATAATGAAATGACTGATGAGTTATTTAATATTTAAACCCTTTGGACCTAGCCTATTTAACCACAAGTATTTGGATAAAGGTTGTTACGGCTGTCAATAGATTAAATATATACCTAATTTAGGTATAGGAAAATGTTTTTAAATTCGACTAAATATTCTGCAGTATAATTGAAGCCAGTAACCTCTCAATGGTTATTTAAGTCTAATTCTTTAATCATAGAAGGCAATCAACGGTAAGCTTAGTATCCGCACTTCGCAGAATCTTTTAATTTAACCAGATATAATATTTAGTCATTAATCATGCTGATTACTACTGTAAAGTAACCATAGTGTGGTTTAATTAAATATAAAATATTATAAAAGACTACCTGTTGAGCCAACTCTCGAGTGGGTGCCAAGATAAGCCCAATTGGCCCATCCCCAGGTGCCAACTCTTTCTGATCCATAATATGTACCAATAACGGCCAAAGAAACGCTGCAGTTTTTCCTGAACCAGTACGCGCAATACCTAGAAAAATAAGTTCAATCTAAAATCTGGCCTAAAAACTAATTGAATTTGACAAATTCTTTCCTTCTTTTGACACGTAAAAAATTTACCTATAAGATCTCGGCCGGCAAGTGCGGCTGGTACTCCAGCAGCTTGTATGGGAGTGGGCTGAGAATATTCTGAGCGACGAATCGCTTTCATAAGTTGCTCATCGAAACCCAAATGTGCAAAACTGCTCACTGGTCTTGGCGGCTCAGGCCCTGAAATCTGTAAGACAAAAGATTTTTTTGCTATTCTTACAGCGACTTAATACAATACTTAAACAAAACACACATCAAAAAAACCTTAATGTGTAAAGGTTACTACACAGTCAATGACTACCTGGAAGATAAAAACGCTTGGCAATAGTTCTAATTATATTCTTATAATTTGATTTGTTATCTTTGAAGTGTTATGAATATGTGTGTAATGGTGAATGTGGTAAATCACAGAACAGATTTTTTATTTTTTTTTACTTATGTAATTGTATTTTAATGACGTTGTGGTTTATGACATTTTCCTTTGAATAATTGTAATGTAAAGGGAGGGCAAACTTGCTGAGTTTCTTGCCCGTTCTTCTCAGAACAAGGCCTCCTGGTAGTTTTGCGAACGGATGGCGTAGTCTTGCTCTTTCGTGAATTTTGTAAACGTTGTTGACTTTCATAAGCATGCTCTAAGAAGCATCTAAATTGAATAAACGTATTTTATTTTGATTTTGATTTTAAAGGCATGATTATCATATACCTTTTCCTAACAAGTTATCAACAATGCAACCCTTTTCAATTCAGTCAGTGTGCAATGAAATAAATCCCAGATGCTAACTTATTGAGTGCGTCACTGAGAATTGAACATAATTTATGTACTTGCTATTTTTAAAGTGTAAAGATTTTTAAATCATTGGTTTTTTGTTGGTCGGTTGGCTATTTTTTTTACTTATCTGTGATTTTTTTTATATTGCGCATTCTTTGTTAGTTACAGATACCGGCAAACATCTTGAACAACTGTCCTTGCCTTGTGCAGAAGCAATTTTTAGGTATCACTTGTGGGGGGGCGGCGGCGGGAGAGTGACGTATCGATCGCGTGATTGGTAAATCAGTTGACGATTGTGTCCCGCGATGATGCGCAAACTTTCTACCACTCCCTTGTTTAATGCTCAAGAAGTTTAGCTGGTATCTGTACAGGAGTAAAATGGTAGCAGGAGAATCACGAAAAATTTAAATACTTATTGCCAACAAACAAATATTGAATGCTGGGCACTTCCACTCCCAAATGTCAAAAAACATAAAGATTCCACATACATAGAGCTATGTTTCAACTCTGAACATAACCAATATAATATTCAGAAACAAGACTTAGGACTAAGTCTGACTTATAGAATTTTGTCATATCGGAGTTATAGTTACCGCTCCTGAATCTCCATGTAGTTAAATTTAAGTACTATTTTATGTTTCTTACCTTGACACCTAAATTATTTTTCAATTCCTCAACCTGTTCATTGGTTAATTTCTCAATATCTTCATGTGGTGTATAGAAATTCTTTTCAAACGTCTCATACCGAATTTCAGAATGATCTATTGGTGGAAGAGGATCTATAAACTTCTTCTTTGGAGGTGGAATAGGGTTACCATCCTCGTCATATTCAATTTCTACATCTGAACCATCATCAGCTGCTGTTAGCGGATTGTCTTCCATATATCTAAAATAATTATAAATATTAGTTAGAAGTACTAGCTTAGTGTACTGCAGGTGATCAGCGTTCTGAGCTTGATACTGTAAATTTTGAGATTAAAGACATGCCAGTTTAGACGCAAAGGTGTATTTCACCATACAAACAACTACTGCACCTTGTTTGTGTGAAAATCCATAGGTGCACAACTGCATATAAACACTGCTTACAGTAGTGACTCAACTGCGCATAAATGGACTTTTTCATCTATGAATGTACTTATAGAAGAAACCAATCCTAAAAGTCTTAAAATACAAAGGTATTTGAAGGTTAGGAGTCCAGAGGACCAAGACCTAGTGAATTAAATACAATTAGAATTCATATAAGAATGACTATGATTTATTAATTGATGAAATGTATTTAACCAAGGACATTACTTGTAGTAGCTTTCTTCATCATCCATATCATCTATATCTCCCCTTGTTCCTCTTGCAACATCTCCCTTGCCTGTTGCCTCATTCTCTTTACTGGTCATCAAATCCTTAGCTGCTTGTTGTTCTAAGCCAGCCATGTAAGCATCCAATGGATCTACTTCATCATTATTCTAAAATAAAAATAAACAGTGGTTTATATTTGGATCTTATTAGAGTCAAACCCAAGTCATTTTTAAAAATTGTTGTTGTGTTTTAAAAAACATACCTCTTTAGCCATATCATTGGTAGGACTTCCTGGAGCTGGGATATAAGCTAGAGCAGGTGTTGGGGGTTCATCATCATCATCAAAATATCTGTATTAATAACATAAGCTCTTAAGACATCACATATGTAAGTTAGGATCCTCATATATTTTGTTAATTTCAAATTACAACTTATAATAGGAATTTTAATACATTTTAATGATTTATCCAAGGATACCTTATCAACTAGTCTTATTAGAATCAATGGTTGAAATGGCACTTACTCATCCTCTGTTTTTGCGCGTTTCTTTCCTAGGGTACCAAAATTTCCTGTCATAGCATTTTGAGTGATTGCATTCATAGTCGAGTAGCCTTGCTTAGAAAGCCCCGATGATGGGGGTGGAACATTGTTCAAAGACGCTGTGGGGGGCGGAACAGCATGCAAAGAAACAGTTGATGGATTGCGCTTAGGCATAGTAAATCCGGCGAAGCCTAAACCTTTGCCGCTACCACTCATTTTATGGTTATATTATGTTCCTGTATATAGTCATAAATACTAGGTTAATATCTAATATTGGCTTAAATTTTACAAATACCATTTACAAGCAATCATCTTACAATAAAATAAGTAGCGTTTATAATTAGAAAATTAGTTTAATGCTACGAAATAAATGACACAAAATAACCCGTTGAATCAATAAGCAATAGATATTACATAGTACATACTACATACTATACTACATAGCCAGAAGCTAGCTACATTTCATTTATATTTTTTTTTTTTTGAGTTTATGGCCTGGTATCTAGACCTTTAGGCCAAGTCTTGAGTATTTTCATTTATATTTTATCTTGCAGGCCAAAGAGTATATATATAATTCGGTTTACTCGGAATAGCGAGGTTATCGGTATATGACATATGACATATTATGTAGAATTATTAGTATTCCGTGGTTATGACAGTTCGTGACAACACTTGATCTGTGGTGACCAAACAAGAATTAAATGATTAATTAAAAATTTATTACAAAATACAAATTGCTAACCGTGGTCTGCGAGTTACTAATTTTTACACTATTTTTTTACTAAGTAATAAGTAAAATGTATTTTCAATTAATAATTGTAATATTTTCTTTTCTAACAATAAGTAATGTTGAAGCTTCTCAAGGATACGATTTTGGTGACTTTCTAGCTACTATATTGGGATTAGGCATTGCTGTAATCGGAATTCTGGCCTGTTTGGGCAACTATGCTAGACAAAGGGCACGAAACGAGTTTATTTAAAGTTAATGATATGTAAGTATATAAATAACAAGGTAAAAATACTTAAAGACAACGATCGCAACGCTTTATTGCATTTTGATTTTCTTTGTTGTGTTGTGTACATTATTATACACATGTTATAGTCGGCTCAGAGAAATAAAAACAGCAACCTTTTTTAATCAATGGTAGTTATTATACATCTACTTGACTTGCATATATAGTTTGATTTTTTTACTAACAACTTTTTGACTGTTATTTTCTTTTGGCATTTTCAGTTTTGGCCAAAATTTTGATTATGACTATAGCTAATAGCTTTCAAACTCATAAAAAAATTAAAAGTTTTGATTTTGTCACATAGATAATTGATTTATATCTAAAAATATTGTTACAGATATTTTCTCAGAAAAATATAGAGGATTCATCAAAAATGATATTCAGCCCACAAGTAAATTTATGAAGATTGTTGTAATAAACAATGTTTGTCAAATTGCTTTACCATTTTGCACCTATATGTATGTATATGTAAGTGATAATATAAAAAAAAACTGCTTACATTAAAATGTAATCATTGTTTTGGATATTTTTTATAAAGAGATATTTTTGTCAAGAAATGTTTTTATTATTAATTTGTCCATAACATTACTTAAATTTTAAAAATAATCGATATAAGGTTGTAAATAATTTTATTTATATTACCAGTGCAAAATATTAATTGTAATTTTTAAAAAATGCACATTTCATCTTTTACAAAATAAAAATTACTGATTTAACATAATATTGACTTTGGTCATCTTAAAAACTACATTTTTCTAATTCTTCTATTGCTTTTATAATTTCAATCTTTTTTGAAATTTTGTCCTTTTGATCTTTGTCTGGATTTAGAGCCCCAATATTTATTTTTTCTTCAAGTGTTTCAATATCTCTAAGCTTTTTCCGTAAATTTTTTAACCTTTTATTTGGATCTGAAGCTGATATTGTGTTAGGTTGATGAACTGCTTCATTAAATGTTGGTTCTATTATTTCAACTTTTGATAATCTATCAGCAACTTCATTGACAGCTAAAAGAAGAAAGAACATAAATAAGTTTTTTGTCACACCAAAGGTTAAGTTAAGTCATTAACGTGGCTGCTCAGCGAGTTTAAAAGCTAGCGAGTGTTAATGACAACAAAACTTTCCACTTGCTTTTTGCTGAAAACTAAAACCTAAACATACTCGTAACTAGTTCACTAACAGTGATGATGATCTACAGCTAGAAGCAGCTTACAATCCAGATTTTTTACTTGCAGCTTTTTCTTACAATAGGATAGTCAACAAGCACAAGACTCAAAGCCCATCAAGACTCACTAGGTGATTTTACAAGCTGCTAGTGAACTCTCAGGTAATAAACTAGGTCCTTGTCATTATAGCTTATCATGTAAATGGTAAAAATAAATATCTGAAATTATAATATTTAAATGGAATTTAAGTAGCAGATATATGCAACAATCTTAAATTCCAAATAGAAACCTTTTATGTTACTAAATTAAAATTAATGACAGACTTATGACAGCTATTAAGTTTCATTACCTGACTTTTTCTTCTTCTTCTTTTTTTCAATATTGACAACCATTCCAGGTATTGGTTGAATAATGCCACTGCCTTTTTTAGGTTTTCTTATTTCTTCTGCCAATTCAGGTGGCAAACCAACTGGCAATCCTGTGTTTTGTCTCGCTTTGAATTGTTTTCCTTTACTTTCATATAAAGGTATTTCCTCTTGTGGTATATATCCATCTTTTACTCTTCTTGGCTTTCTCCATGTACCATCAGGTCTCTGTGTTGCTGGTATAAATTTTCCACCTGAAAGTATTATTATTATATTTTAAAAGTAAGTATGTATAACTTTTTTAATTCTACTTATTAAAGCTACTATAAGTATTTAGGACAAGGTAAATTACTCAACTCAAGGCATTTTAATGCTTTGTACTTTAAAACTTTCAACTTATACTAAGATCAGTCAGACGAAAATATAATACACTGTAGTACATTAATGATTTTTTAACGTTTATTATAAGCCAAAGTAAACATTAATGCACTTACCAGCTCCATCATGCTCATATGATGTAGTTGCCATTAGACCGCATACACAGAATAATAAGATTTGAGTTTTCTTAAGATGACCTTTCAAGTCTCTACTAGCTTCACCGATTTAATGTACCTTTGATTTGTAGCTATAATGAGAGATCTGTAATCCAAAAATATAAACAGCCATCAAGAGGCAAACTAATTACTAGTGGCCTCAGGAACAGAACACTCAACACACTACTCCACAGGCTACAGGCAGGGCTGAGAGCAAGCTTGTTCACAGATAATGTATCCTTCATCTTTAAATTCTTATAAATCTCAGCCACCATAGACATTTGTAATAGCTCTTAAGGCTAGCGCGCACCGGTGACTTTTGTCAGCATGACAAAAAAGTTTTTGTCGCTGTCACGTCACGCCTCCAAAGCGAGGTGCGCTCACGAAAGGTGACAGTGACAAGTTTTTTTTTTTAAAACCTTCATTTGTCGAAATGGATTTCGAAGGGTAACAGTTTTGAATGTCGTCGCATTTATTTGATGATACTAACTATGCAGGAGTCTCGGGGGACCTTCATTGGAACACCTCCAAGTGATTTTTGTTCCAGGAAACGCGTCTAAGTATTTTTAATAAAAATTTAAAGTTTTGTGAAATGTATTGAAATTTGTAAACAATCCGCCATTTTCTACGTTTCTATAGGTTATAAGAGATGTGACATTCACTTTAAAAAATCGTTTTTTAATTAATCGATTGTTAATAATCGTTTTTTAAGTAACGTTTATAAAATTAATAGGGATGTGAAAAATAATCGATTTCTTTAAAAGTGAAAATCGATTTTTGTATTCGATTTTAATATTAAAAATAATTGAAAATCAATCATAGTTGATCAATTTCAGTTGAACAGTTATTTTAAAAATAAATATTCATATACTAACCTAACCTAACCGATCTAAATAATATTTGTTTTTTTGGACAGCTCCGATCTAAATAATAATTGTTTATTCAAGCCTCCCCAACCCGGCTTCTTGGTCGCCTTCGGCGACCAAATATTCATATACTAACCTAACCTAACCGATCTAAATAATATTTGTTTTTTTGGACAGCTCCGATCTCAATAATAATTGTTTATTCAAGCCCCCCCAACCCGGCTTTTTGGTCGCCTTCGGCGACCAAATATTCATATACTAACCTAACCTAACCGATCTAAATAATATTTGTTTTTTGAACAGCTCCGATCTAAATAATAATTGTTTATTCAAGCCCCCCCAACCCGGCTTCTTGGTCGCCTTCGGCGACCAAATATTCATATACTAACCTAACCTAACCGATCTAAATAATAATTGTTTATTCAAGCCCCCCCAACCCGGCTTCTTGGTCGCCTTCGGCGACCAAATATTCATATACTAACCTAACCTAACCGATCTAAATAATATTTGTTTTTTTGGACAGCTCCGGCGCTACGGGAAATGCAGCCCCTCCACCCTTACGTACCAAAGCACAGGCATTATATATCCTCCGCGCCTCCGATTATTTATATACACTCTAGGGGTAAGACAGACAAGACCACGTAGATAGTGGGGTGCTCTGATTCGGTTTTGGGTACTTTTTGGATATTAAAGTAAACACTTTATTCTAGTAAAAATTAAATAATATAGAAAGTTGCAAACAATGAAATACAAGTACTAATTAGGAAATACAGACGAGTAGGTATCGATAATTTCAAAAAATTTCGGATCCCTATAATCAACACGAAATTAGGTTAATTTCAATGTTGATTATTCTATAACTTTAAATTTCAAAAATGAGGAAATAATCGATAAATAAATAAAACGATTAGTAACAATCGATAAATTAAAAAACGATTTTTTAAAGTGAACGTCACATCTCTTATAACCAATAGAAAAGTAGAAAATGGCGGATTGTTTACAAATTTCAATACATTGCACAAAACTTTAAATTTTTTTTTAAATACTTAGACGCGTTTCCTGTAGCAAAACTCACTTGGAGGTGTTCCAATGAAGGTCCCCCGACACTCCTAGATAATTAGTATCGTCAAAAAAGTGCGGTGGTATTCAACACCCAACCCACATACGAAAATACAAACAGGAGATTGTCTGTTTCGGCTGAAGAAAGACTCGCTGTTACTTTGAGGTAAATATAAGTAATTAGAATATTATGTAATTTTAAATTGTTTATTTTAATGAAAATACAAAAATGTTATACAAATTAAAGTAAGTAGTTTTTAATTATAATCAAAAATCAAAAAAGTAATTGAAATGTAATATTCTTTAATTATTCTTCATGTTGGTTGATATTGTACTCCTGGCAGATGTCATACAATTTGGAATCTTCTGTAAACTCTGTAATATAGGTTTGAATTGATGACGATGAGGCGGCTGAGGAGTTTTTAGGGTCTTGCTTAGGAGGCGATGATTGTGAAGATGAATTCGGTTGAGTGTGTGCAGAGGGTAGCAAATTTTGGGAACTTGTAGATGTATGAGTAGGAGAAGGAGATAAAATCAGTGGAGTGTTTCTTGCTAAGTGGAGTGGGCCTTGGGGACTTTGCGATGGTATAGAAACAGAATATTTGGGCTTGATTTGGAAATTTTGAGGACTACCTGTATAAATTGTGGATGGGGGATAATTATTGCGCTGAGTGTTTTGTTTCTGAACTTCCTGGAAAATTTGTAAAATTTTGATCTGTACGTCTAGTTTTTCTCCTCCGGGACTGCTTTTAACAACGGCACCAAAGACAGCGCAAAATGCTTTTCCTTGTCATCGTCATTACAGTCACTTTTGTTATTTCTCATAGTCTCGATAAACCTGTTATCATCAACTCTTTTGTTGTTTAAAATCTCTAGAAGCCTTTCTTCGTAACATATTTTATTCTTATTTTTCTTTCGGGAATATTCTTCTCGCTGTAGTACTTCCACACTGGCATCTTGACTATCTTCTTCGCAAGCAATTTCCTCTACAGAATCAGCATTTCCTGAGGTTTCTCGGGTATCCATGCTTGGGATAAGAAATAAAAGTTGGTCAAAATGTTTGTACTTTCTTCTTTTTGTAGCGGCCTGGCCAGACTTAGTACATTTTTGCTCACGTAGCTCACGTGAAAAACAAGCCCTTAAATTCTTCCATCGTTTTTGTACAAGTTTACCTGAAAATAAATATTTAACTAGTATAAAACAGTCAGTCATTTATTTAATTTATGTATTTTTAACTTTAATTTTGTATTATGTATTTAATTTTCTTTTGTTTCAGATATCTTGCAACCGGCAACAGTTTTTACAGCATATCATTTGAATATTTGATAGGTGCCACCACTGCACGAGAAATTGTAAAATCTACATGTTCTACGATCTGGAATTTACATACACTAGGTATACATGCCTGAAAAGTCTGAAGAGGATTGGTATACTATTTCAAATCAGTTTTACCAACGGACAAATTTTCCGAACATAATTGGCGCAATTGATGGCAAACATGTGAGAATAATTCAGCCGGAAAACACCGGTACGCAGTGTTTCAATTACAAAAAGTACTTTTCTACTGTTCTCATGGCATGGGTAGATGCAGATTATAAATTTGTATACATAGATGTTGGTTCTAATGGAGCAGCAAGCGACTCCAATGTATTTCAGAATTCTGGCATGGGCAAAAGATTGCAGCAAAATCAATTGAGCATACCAGATGATCGTAATTTGCCATATGATGAAAATGGAAAAAAAATGCCATTTTGTTTGGTCGCTGATGAGGCATTTGGCTTGTCGAGGCATATTTTGCGACCATATTCAAGAAAATCATTGTCTACTGTAAAAAAAATTTACAACTATCGCCACACTAGGGCACGACGCATGGTTGAATGCACTTTTGGTATACTTTGTAACAAATGGCGAATTTTGCACAGGCCGATTGACGTCAGTCTTGATTTTGCTGATATAATAGTAAAAACATGTTGTATTTTACATAATTTTGTACGGTGCAGAGATGGCATTCAATTTACTGACACTGTTTACGATTGTCCATTAAAAGGTATTGCAACAAATCCATCAGACAGAACCATATCAGCAGCAAATATACGTAATTATTTTGCGAATTACTTTACTTCACCACAAGGGGCTGTGTCATGGCAGTATGACAAAATCTGAATTTCACCTTTTTGTACAACTGTTGTTTTAGCTACAAATACTAAAAATAAAAAGATACTCACCAGCTTCAGTTTTTTCTTGTGACGACAACGTACCCCAAACTGTAGAAAATATTATACGACTGATTTCATCCCATGCTTTAATTTTCAAATTAGAATCTGAATACTCTTTCAGCTTTTTATCGTAAATTAATGCTCTTTTTTTCAACTTCTTCAATAAGTAAATCATTATCGATATCCTCTTCGTGCACTTTCACGTTTTGCGTAGACGTTGACGCCATTTTGCGTTCGCTAAAGACGACGGTCCGAATGCAAATGGCGGAAGAACTACGTGTTGAGTGACAATTTTGTTGCCCGTGCGCGCTGCTATAAAAACCTAGCGGCGTGGTGACAGTTTCGTCACGGGCTTGTCCGCTGGTCGGCGGACAAAAATGTCACCCAATTGTCACGTCGTAACGTGCGCGCACCTCCATATATACTTTTTTTTTTTAGGTAGGTGGCCTTATTCGCGAGGCCGCGCGCGTTCCAATGTAGGAGCCGAAGGCCCCCCATCATCTGCGGCTGCGACCTCGGGTGGGGGCCTTGAAGGCCGATGCCGCTCTCCTAAAAAGCGGGGCTGGATCGTCTCCGGCTTGCACGGCCTGGAGTATGTTAGCGATGGCCGCCAGTGCCTCCTCCATTTGGGGTCGGCGCGCGCGGGACCTGGTGCGCGCGCGCGGAGGTGGTGCTGGTGCTGGTGCTGGCGCTGGGGCTGCGGCTGCGGCAGCGGCGCGGTTGGCGACGCCCGTGGAAACCGCATGAAGTGCGGCAGCGCGGCCCGCCTCCTGCGCGGCAAGTGAAGGCGCGGCGGGGCCCCGCCTGCGGCCGCCTCGTCTCGTGCGGCGTCGCACCGTGACGAAGCCCTCATC